TCCTTGCTGTTTTTGTCATTCACACATTTCATATTGTGAATCGCTATTGTCGTTTTCTTCGTTGTTGTTGTTGTTTTCCTAGGAAAGTCGTTAAGAATTTCAAATGATGATGATGATGATGATAATGATCCATTATGCAATAGCGACAACCAAACCAATATATATAGTTTTGGTTGTTTTTTTGACTATTTATAAACGAATAATATTTTCTGTACATACCAGTTTGGCAGTCATCATTATCATTATTATTATTGTCGTTATTGAAATAACTTTTTTTCTAGTTGTTAAAGGCGTATGGTGAACAACAACAACAACAAAATGATGATATGGCTTTGTCATTTTCGTTGTTGTTGTTGTTCGTTACCATTAATGGTTTTTGTTGTTGTTGTATTTTATTCCATTCATTCATTCGAAATGGATTCTTTTCCTCTCTTATTTTTCCCAATTCTCATTTCCATGACCGGTTTTCATCTTTTTTTTCTAATTCTGACTTTGAAATGAAATGAATGATAACCATATATCATTAAGTACAGAATTATCGTTGTGATCGTCGTCATTTTTGTTCACAATCCTATCATCATCATCATCATAGTTGTTGTTTTGAACATGAAAAAAAATAGAAATCACGTTTAGTTATCATCATCATGATCATCATCATGATCAATTCGTTTAAATTATACCATTTTGTTTCTGTTACTTTTTATTTCCTGCCTTTTAATGATTCTGTTGTTTCTACTTGGTGATTTTTATATACAATGTTTCTCTACACACACACGCCCAATGTTCAAAATGTTCTAGTCATTTTATTTCATTTCGTATGACTTTGGAAATCAATGCTGAAATGGAAGAAACAGCAAACTTTTTACAAGTAGCAATTTCATTTTAGCTTTAGTTTGATTTGTGATTATTTCTTTCTCTCTATGGCCCCCCAAAGATTCAAACATTTTCTTCTTTTGCTCCCCCACTCTCTCTTTAACTTAAAATGTTTGAAAGAAAAACCCGAAAAACAATCGGAAGCCGGAAAGTCAGAGACACACACACACATTGTTGTTGTTGTTGTTGTTTTGTATTTTTGACTAGCATTCCTTATTCTGGAAAAAAGTCAAAAAATGAATGGAATCGAATGGATAGAATCGAAAAATCAACTTGGCATATTTGGATTGAGATGAATGCCTGATTCTGATTCTTCTGATTCTTTTGGATGATATTCTGATATTTTAGAATTCTGTAGTAGTGGTGTCTGATTGCTCCATTTTTTTTTCGTCGATAAAGAATTGATGGCGCCCTAGCCTATGGTTCCAATAGCTATTTTTTTCATTGCCAATTCTTCTTAAGCAGATTCTTTCTTTATTTATTTTTTCTCGAAATCTTTTTTTTTCAAACAAAATTCACAATGTTTATGAATGGAAATATATATGGATGCGTGTTTGCGTGATTCACCATTCTGGTGAATCATTTCGCTAAATTATGATGATGGTGGTGGTGGGTTAGATGAATTCTTTTTTACACTATTTGTTTTGCCTTACGTCTGATCCACATTGATCCCTATGGATCAACGGTTTTTTGCTTAAAATGAATGAATGAATGAAAAAAAAAAATGAAAAACCGATCGACCGATAGTCAGTTTAGTTCGGTGGTATGTGTGGGATTCTTGTTGTTGTTACCCTTACTATTCTATGTACGAGTAGTAGTTTTTGCCAGACAGACAACAACAGAAAAAAAATAGCAACGGTTTTTTTCGTTGCTATTCCGAAATTCCATGATTCTTCATTCGGAAATTCGTTTTTGGCAATTCTGTGGAAGTAGTTGATGTGTAAGATGAATAGATGATTCATTCATTCATTTTACATTACGATACACAGTTGTTGTTCGGTGTGTGTGTGTGGTGTTCCAGAATCGAGATTCTGTGTCTGGATGGGCCTTTTTTTTATATATTTGGCAGCCGAGAATCATTTCAGGATCATTCATCCACATCCAACTTTGGTCGTTCGGTCGGTCGATATTCATTTTCTCTAACTGCAAAATAAAACTTTCAATTTTTAAAACATTCTTTTCATTTCAAATAGTGATTAGAATTTGAAATGTTTTTTTGTTGAAATTTTCGTGTGTGTGTGCGGTGTGTTTTTTAGTTTTTTAGTTTTTCATCCATCCATCCATCCATGCTAAAACATCTTTGAAAATATTGTTTTTTCTTTGTCGTTTCTTGTAATTTATTCGCATCAATTGTTTCCATTTCGTTTTTTTCGTTTTGTTTTAGTAAACGAATATTCTGGGTAAATTTGCCGGAAACTTTTGTTTGTTTGTTTGTTTGTTTTTTATAGTTTTTGTTGTTGTTTGTCATTGTTCGGTGTGTGTGTGTATTGAGTTTTCTTTCATCATTTTTTTCCATGGAATTTTTCCCCGAAAATTTCATCAAACACACTCACACACATACACTGACGCCGATATAGAGAATGGTCCATGGAGACTAAGGAATTTCTGAATTTCGATCGGGCTTTATGGAAAAGAAATTTTTAAAAAAATTCTTGTGCTATTCTTGTGTGTTTTGGGCAAATCGATTGAACAACAGCCAAAATATTCATCGTTTTTCCTCTATATTCCATCAATCCATTATTTTCATCATCATCATCATCGAATTCAAGCAAAGAAGAAAAACGACAAATATCATCATCATCATCAATTCGTTAAGGAAAAATTTTCTTTTTTCATTTCATTTCAATTCAAACATTAAATTCTTTTTTTCAGGGAAAAAAACGAAAAGAAAAATGATTGAATGTCGTCAAACAATCATTATTACCATCATCATGATCGACACATTAGATGATTATGTCTTTCTATCTCTCTCTCTCTCTCTTACTCTTTTCCTTTGCTTGATGATAATCATCATTATCATCATCATTTTCTTTTTGATGTCTTTGTGAAAAAACATTTGGATTTTGATTTTCATCATTTCATTTCTTAATTGCGTTTATATTGATGATAAAAAAAAAGTCATTTACGTCCAATGTTTGGTTCCCTCTTTTTACAATGATTCTTTCTTATTACATGCTGTAGTTGTGGTAAGATATAGAGAGAGGATGGATAAACAAAAAACAGAAAAAGACAGAAACTTGATTTTTTGTTTCCAAATGGTAGGTCTATAATCATTCAACCATTTCTCATTGCAAAGTATAGGATATAACGATAATAATAATGATGATAATGGTAATG